AATGATTTCATAACACTGAACTGGATGTTGCCTCTTTGATGTGCTCATATGCCTATCTCACACCTGAAGCAAGGACTGCACTGATGTCCATACACGCCCTGTATAATAGAGATAGAGGCCCTGTATTGTGTAGTGCTCCATACACGCCCTGTATAATAGTGATAGAGGCCCTGTATTGTGTAGTGCTCCATACACACCCTGTATAATAGTGATAGAGGCCCTGTATTGTTTAGTGCTCCATACACGCCCTGTAGTGATAGAGACTCTTTATTGTGTAGTGCTCCATACACACCCTGTAGTGATAGAGGCCCTGTATTGTATAGTGCTCCATACACGCCCTGTAGTGATAGAGGCTCTTTATTGTGTAGTGGTTCATACATGCCCTGGAGTGATAGAGGCCCTGTATTGTGTAGTGCTCCATACACGCCCTTTATAATAGAGATAGAGGCCCTGTATTGTGTAGTGCTCCATACACGCCCTGTATAATAGAGATAGAGGCCCTTTATTGTGTAGTGCTCCATACACGCCCTGTAGTGATAGAGGCCCTGTATTGTGTAGTGCTCCATACACGCCCTGTATAATAGAGATAGAGGCCCTGTATTGTGTAGTGCTCCATACACACCCTGTAGTGATAGAGGCCCTGTATTGTGTAGTGCTCCATACACGCCCTGTATGATAGAGATAGAGGCCCTGTATTGTGAAGTGCTCCATACACGCCCTGTAGTGATAGAGGCCCTTTATTGTGTAGTGGTTCATACATGCCCTGGAGTTATAGAGGCCCTTTATTGTGTAGTGCTCCATACACACCCTGTAGTGATAGAGGCCCTGTATTGTGTAGTGCTCCATACACGCCCTGTATAATAGAGATAGAGGCCCTGTATTGTGTAGTGCTCCATACACGCCCTGTATGATAGAGATAGAGGCCCTGTATTGTGTAGTGCTCCATACACGCCCTGTAGTGATAGAGGCCCTTTATTGTGTAGTGCTCCATACACGCCCTGTAGTGATAGAGGCCCTGTATTGTGTAGTGCTCCATACACGCCCTGTATAATAGAGATAGAGGCCCTGTATTGTGTAGTGCTCCATACACGCCCTGTATAATAGTGATAGAGGCCCTGTATTGTGTAGTGCTCCATACACGCCCTGTATAATAGTGATAGAGGCCCTGTATTGTGTAGTGCTCCATACACGCCCTGTAGTGATAGAGGCCTTTTATTGTGTAGTGGTTCATACATGCCCTGGAGTTAAAGAGGCCCTTTATTGTGTAGTGGTTCATACATGCCCTGGAGTGATAGAGGCCCTGTATTGTGTAGTGCTCCATACACGCCCTTTATAATAGAGATAGAGGCCCTGTATTGTGTAGTGCTCCATACACGCCCTGTATAATAGAGATAGAGGCCCTTTATTGTGTAGTGCTCCATACACACCCTGTAGTGATAGAGGCCCTGTATTGTGTAGTGCTCCATACACGCCCTGTATGATAGAGATAGAGGCCCTGTATTGTGTAGTGCTCCATACACGCCCTGTAGTGATAGAGGCCCTTTATTGTGTAGTGGTTCATACATGCCCTGGAGTTATAGAGGCCCTTTATTGTGTAGTGGTTCATACATGCCCTGTAGTGATAGAGGCCCTGTATTGTGTAGTGCTCCATACACGCCCTGTATAATAGAGATAGAGGCCCTGTATTGTGTAGTGCTCCATAAACGCCCTGTATAATAGTGATAGAGGCCCTGTATTGTGTAGTGCTCCATACACGCCCTGTAGTGATAGAGGCTCTTTATTGTGTAGTGGTTCATACATGCCCTGTAGTGATAGAGGCCCTGTATTGTGTAGTGCTCCATACACGCCCTGTAGTGATAGAGGCCCTGTATTGTGTAGTGCTCCATACACGCCCTGTAGTGATAGAGGCCCTGTATTGTGTAGTGCTCCATACACGCCCTGTAGTGATAGAGGCCCTGTATTGTGTGGTGGTTCATACATGCCCTGTAGGCCCTGTATTGTGTAGCTACAAGCAGGGTTATTCTGGGTCCACACCAGCTGGGTAAATGTGTCTACATGAAGATTCGGGGTAGAATAGGTCTTCAACAACCAATGCTTGCCATAAAAGGTGACTATGCTTGTCATAAGAGGCGACTAACGGGATCGGGTGGTCAGGCTGGCTGACCTGGTTGATGCATGTCATCGATCCCAATTGAGTGAATCGATGCTCATGATATCATTCACTGGATTGTCTGGTCCAGACTTGATTATTATAGCTGGAATATTGCTGAGTGCGGCGTTAAACGACAAACAAACCAAACCTGATGCCTGCATGGAGGGACTCGTGACAGCAGTCAGGTCAAGTTGGATGGAGATGGATGTAGTGCCACATCTGTCCCAGGTCATGTGGTCGTACACGACTCAACAATGTCGGCTGCTGCAGCTGGTGCTGCCTCATGTATCTTGGAGTACACAGAGTTCATTCCTCAGTCAGGGCAACTCACCACCAGTTTCAAGCATTGTGGCTGGATGTGTCATGTCTTCAAGTTTCACAATTTACTGTGATTGTCACATTCATTACTTAAGCTTACTAAGGAAGCCTACTCTTGATGTCCCTGTCTTGGTAAGGCTGCAATACACATGCCTACTCCTGATGTCCCTGTCTTGGTAAGGCTGCAACACACATGCCTACTCTTGATGTCCCTGTCTTGGTAAGGCTGCAACACACATGCCTACTCTTGATGTCCCTGTCTTGATAAGGCTGCAACACACATGCCTACTCTTGATGTCCCTGTCTTGGTAAGGCTGCAACACACATGCCTACTCCTGATGTCCCTGTCTTGGTAAGGCTGCAACACACATGCCTACTCTTGATGTCCCTGTCTTGGTAAGGCTGCAACACACATGCCTACTCTTGATGTCCCTGTCTTGATAAGGCTGCAACACACATGCCTACTCCTGATGTCCCTGTCTTGGTAAGGCTGCAACACACATGCCTACTCCTGATGTGTGGCATATGGTGGCAGTCTGAACCATACATCCCAGTGGTTGATATCAAGAGCATCCATCCATGCATGTTCAGGGAATTTGATGAGTCATCAGTTTATGTTTATCATTGCTGACCATCACGTCTGAAGAACTGAGGTCTTTATTTTTGTTTTGATCATAAAGCAGCTATGTAGCCCCAGAAATAAGGTTATTTTATTTATAATAAATATATGTCTACAACATAAATAAAATCCAAATGGAGCCCAGAACATACCTTAATTTCAGGGACCCTAGAGCTGAGGCAATCTAGACTTGCCCTTTTGTTTTACTGTCTAGGGTCTGGGAGACAGACTACTTACTGTGACTTTAGCAAATTTATCATCCAAAACTGGCTCCCACAGGATATGTAGCATGGATTAGATCAAGCGATATCTACACTGTAGATATCGCTGCAATGAAATTGCATCACAATGCTTTGCAGACCATTGTGACATCACTGGTTACCATGATGTCACAATCAAACGAAATCACTAATGGCTCTGCTACTTAAGCTGTTAGCAGTACTTTTTACACTGAAGACATTGCTAATTACTGTCTGCAAACTGAAAAAGTTTGAAGAATGATGTTGGATGATAAAAAAAATCTCACCCTCGTGTCTTTTGATATCAAATATATCAACACTCGTTGATAAAAGTGCCAAAATCTTTTCCGCTTTTATCAACTCGTGTTGATATATTTGATATGAAAAGACACTTGGGTGAGATTCTCTATATAATCACTAGCTTGGTCCATCTGTAGACACACATTCAATGTCTTTAGAACTCTGTAATATGTGATGGCTTGTTTTCGAGCAATTGGTCGTAAATGGATGAGATCGGCTTTCAAAATAGCTGAATGACCAGCAGTAATAGCTAATGTGATGGCAGCATAGTGACGAGGCTCTGGTGGCTGAGACACAGGACTGACTGATGGCCATCGCCACACCTTTATGTGGATTCCTAGTGCAGTTAATCAAGACACATTGCAAATAAAAGGCATGTTTTCTGTGTTGCTGTAAAACGGCAAGCTGTGTTTAATGTCTGCCATCTGTAGTGTCTGCCATCTGTAGTGTCTGTCATCTGTAGTGTCTGCCATCTGTAGTGTCTGTCATCTGTAGTGTCTGTCATCTGTAGTGTCTGCCATGTGTAGTGTCTGTCATCTGTAGTGTCTGCCATGTGTAGTGTCTGTCATCTGTAGTGTCTGCCATCTGTAGTGTCTGTCATCTGTAGTGTCTGCCATCTGTAGTGCCTGCCATCTGTAGTGTCTGCCATATGTAGTGTGTCATCTGTAGTGCCTGCCATCTGTAGCGTCTGTCTTAATCCTCCAGTGTGCACACTGGTTTCAGACTGGTTTCACTTTAATGAAGTTAGGATTCAGCTGTGATACTGTTGTGATATTTGCAAACCACTGTGTAAAACCCATACCTTCAGTCACTGCATTGTTGGCGGCCAAGGTCAGACTTTCTACATTGTAAACTGCAGTCTGTATGTTCTGCTCATGAAGTGTGCAGCTGCCACTAAACCCAGTGTTGAAGTTTATGTTGAACAGATGTAGGCAGTGTATTGATTCCCCACTGTGTGTGATCATTAAAATAGTAATATGGATGGAGTCACACAACTGTTAGCGATGTCCGATTCATCTGACACAAACACCAACACTTGTACGGTCATGTCTCAATACAGACTTGTGCCTGCGAACCGGTTGTTTGTCAACCTCTATTGGAGGTTGTGTGTTCCGGTGTTGCGATAGTTGTGGCAGAGGTCTTTCATGTATGTTGTCACAGATCAGATTGGCAGACAAGTGTGTCACATCTGTCACATAATGTCTTTCCCATTATGACCCATTTTCCTTGTCAGCGTCATCACCTGGACTGTGGTGAACAGTACTATATCCCTGTATCATGGAATTGATCCTGGAAGCTTGTGTTCAGTGGCCACAGGACAATTTGCCGTGAGTTGATTGGCTCCAGGCTGGCCCAGGTCTTGGAGGAAGACAATGTCACTCTGCCCTGCTTTTTTCTCTGCTCGTCTGTGTTGTTAGGCTTTATTGATCTCAAGTCGGAGCACAAGTTGGGAATGAGACGTGTGAAAGAATGGCTTCAATAGGGCCAGCTTGCTGGGACATTTGTGGCCAGCGAGGGAACGCTGAGTGAGCGAGATCTGGCTGAGCACTCCGTGGCTGCTGCAGACAGCTGACTGGCCACAGGTCGCTCAAATTAGGCACAATTTTTTCTCACCATGGCAACTAATAATTGATCAAGTTGAGCAAGCAGTGGATGTTGCTGAAGAGTTACAGGTTGTGTTGGAACAGTGATGTGGACGGCAGCACCGACGCCTGGTGCATCTGGTATCGGGCTGTGTACTGTGCTGTGTATGATGGAGGACATGGTGGCTTGGCTCTGGCAGCGTTGAGTTCCCTCCCCATGAAGTCACCCTGCTGCTGCTTCTTCTCCTCAGTCAGTAGCCTCATCCCCTTCCTCCAGCCCCTGTGCTGCATCTCACACCCTGCCTTAAACACAGTGTGACCCCCTTGCCTTGACAACATTGTGCTGTGCTCGCAATAGGACACCACACAGAAGCCATGTTTTGGACATACACCTGCAGGTATATAACATGTATAATGTGCCTCACCCTCCGTTGATATACACCTGCTGGTATATAACATGTATAATGTACCTCACTCACCATGGACATACACCTGCAGGTATATAACATGTATAATGTGCCTCACCCTCCGTTGATATACACCTGCAGGTATATAATGTATATAATGTGCCTCACTCTCCGTGGATATACACCTGTAGGTATATAACATGTATAATGTGCCTCACCCTCCGTTGATATACACCTGCAGGTATATAACATGGATAATGTGCCTCACTCACCGTGGATATACACCTGCAGGTATATAACATGTATAATGTGCCTCACTCTCCACTGATATACACCTGCAGGTATATAACATGGATAATGTGCCTCACTCTCTGTGGATATACACCTGCAGGTATATAACATGGATAATGTGCCTCACTCTCCATTGATATACACCTGCAGGTATATAACATGGATAATGTGCCTCACTCTCTGTGGATATACACCTGCAGGTATATAACATGGATAATGTGCCTCACTCTCCATTGATATACACCTGCAGGTATATAACATGGATAATGTGCCTCACTCTCCATTGATATACACCTGCAGGTATATAACATGGATAATGTGCCTCACTCTCCATTGATATACACCTGCAGGTATATAACATGGATAATGTGCCTCACTCTCTGTGGATATACACCTGCAGGTATATAACATGGATAATGTGCCTCACTCTCCATTGATATACACCTGCAGGTATATAACATGGATAATGTGCCTCACTCTCCATTGATATACACCTGCAGGTATATAACATGGATAATGTGCCTCACTCTCTGTGGATATACACCTGCAGGTATATAACATGGATAATGTACCTCACTCTCCATTGATATACACCTGCAGGTATATAACATGGATAATGTGCCTCACTCTCCATTGATATACACCTGCAGGTATATAACATGGATAATGTGCCTCACTCTCCATTGATATACACCTGCAGGTATATAACATGGATAATGTGCCTCACTCTCCATTGATATACACCTGCAGGTATATAACATAGATAATGTGCCTCACTCTCCGTGTTGAGGCAAACTCATTGTGCAAACCTTCTGTCATTGTTGACATTCTTATAAGGTGTATATGTCTGTATTGTGGATTGTAGACATATTAACGTTGACTGTATAAATGGCTACATGGACCCTCATGTCTGTATACACACGTTTATATGTGCTCCCCCTGAACCCACACACTTCCGGCCACACCCATCCCTACCCAACCCAACCCATGTATGAGTATGGCAGAGTCAGTGGGAGGATCATGTCACAATGCACATTATTGTAGGATCAAGTATCTTCTTGGATTTATCAATGTCAGTTAATTGTTTATTATGATACACCTTGTACTTAGGATTAAATGTAGATGAGAAGTGATACTACATTCCTTCAGAGAGGAGAAAACTCATTATAGGCATTATACACCTTGTACTTAGGATTGTACTGTAGATGAGAAGTGATACTACATTCCTTCAGAGAGGAGAAAACTCATTATAGGCATTATACACCTTGTACTTAGGATTGTACTGTAGATGAGAAGTGATACTACATTCCTTCAGAGAGGAGAAAACTCATTATAGGCATTATACACCTTGTACTTAGGATTGTACTGTAGATGAGAAGTGATACTACATTCCTTCAGAGAGGAGAAAACTCATTATAGGCATTATACACCTTGTACTTAGGATTGTACTGTAGATGAGAAGTGATACTACATTCCTTCAGAGAGGAGAAAACTCATTATAGGCATTATACACCTTGTACTTAGGATTGTACTGTAGATGAGAAGTGATACTACATTCCTTCAGAGAGGAGAAAACTCATTATAGGCATTATACACCTTGTACTTAGGATTGTACTGTAGATGAGAAGTGATACTACATTCCTTCAGAGAGGAGAAAACTCATTATAGGCATTATAGTGTGTGCCAACTCCAGCTAGTAACATGTGAGTGACATCTGGCTTGTTGGTGTCGATAAGATAATACCAATGTTGACATATAATCTCCATCTTCATCAGTATGTTCTCCAAATTACTAATATACATTATTTGCCACAGGTGACATTGGTGGGAACATATTGTTGCTATGACAACAAGGATTTACCACTGGTTTTGGAATATCAAGATTTGGACGTGGATATCTTCATATTGATGTCTAGAAGAATTCTGCAGACTGTGTTACTGACAGGACAGGCACCCGGGGCAGCTGTGGCCTGCTGTCTGTCAGTCGTAGATGCACCGACTGCTCTCTCCAGCTCAATAGGAACACAACCAGGAGTATTATGTGCATGCTGAAAACAGGGCCGTGGATTGGAATGGATATGTTTTGTGTAAAGAACCAAACTTTATCTTGTTTATGTAGGAGGTAGATTTGTGAGAGAGGAGACGTAATGCAGTGATCACCACGGAGAAGTGTCAGCGTGTGCCCACCTGCGTGGAGATGTTGGCATAGTTATTGAACGTTATCATTTATAAATAACTTGTATGTAAACACACATGGATTAGTACATCTCAGAGGTCTGACTGGCGTCTGGGTTTGAGGCTACGTCCCCCAGCATGCCAGGGGTTTTCCCCACACCATCAAAGTCGTGGAAACAAATTCAAGTTGGCGTGATGTTGGGCAAACGGAGAAAGAAGACGCGGCATAAGATGTCCATAGCCAAGTTGTGTTCGTGCATGGTGGGTGAGTCCGATGACTTCCCAGAGAGTGCTCGCCCTTACGATGTCACCAAGTCCTCAGGGGTGAGACAAGTCTTCTCCCACTTTTACAGTTGAGAAAATAACCAATTATAGTTTGTTGATCGCCTAATTCTACTTGACACTTCTGTCTCTGCTATTTACTTAAATTTGTCCCATTCATACAATATCTCGTGTTAGTTCATGGATGTAAATATAGTCTCAACACAAATACAGACACAAGAGCTTCGGTGCATGGGTTGTGATCAGTTTGGTATCATACTGTTTCTCCTTACAATTATGGTTATTGTTCAACCCACCTCCGGTACAAATATAAGCAGTTTTATCTCAGATGGTCACAGTTTCCTAGAGTATGCTCTATACTGTGTCCTTGTTGAAGCTGGCCACAGAATATGTCCCCGGTATTCCAATAAGGACTGATTGATTGTGTGTTCTTGTACTTGGACTGACAGATTATACATGTATGTTTGATTGATGGACCACTGACCAATCCTGGCTCCTGTGTTAAGTAATATTGCTGTTTGTGCTAACTCCTTCACACACTGACTCATCCGTCCTGAAGTCCTGATCGGAAAACCAGATGTGAGGAATTATTGAGTGACAGACTTGGTTGTTATGTCAGGATGCGAGTCTAGGTTACTTCAATCTTGTTGATAGGATGGAGAAAACATTCGATGATACCTTGCCCAAATAGCATTACACTGCTCAGTTATACCCCAGACAGATGTCCTGGTCTCAGCTATACCCCACACAGAGATCATGGTCTCAGTTATACCCCAGACAGATGTCCTGGTCTCAGTTATACCCCACACAGAGATCATGGTCTCAGTTATACCCCAGACAGATGTCCTGGTCTCAGTTATACCCCACAAAGATGTCCTGGTCTCAGTTATACCCCAGACAGATGTCCTGGTCTCAGTTATACCCCAGACAGATGTCCTGGTCTCAGTTATACCCCACACAGATGTCCTGGTCTCAGTTATACCCCAGACAGATGTCCTGGTCTCAGTTATACCCCACACAGATGTCCTGGTCTCAGTTATACCCCACAAAGATGTCCTGGTCTCAGTTATACCCCACACAGATGTCCTGGTCTCAGTTATACCCCACAAAGATGTCCTGGTCTCAGTTATGCCCCACACAGAGATCATGGTCTCAGTTATACCCCAGACAGATGTCCTGGTCTCAGCTATACCCCACACAGAGATCATGGTCTCAGTTATACCCCAGACAGATGTCCTGGTCTCAGCTATACCCCAGACAGATGTCTCGGTCTCAGTTATACCCCAGACAGATGTCCTGGTCTCAGTTATACCCCACACAGAGATCATGGTCTCAGTTATACCCCAGACAGATGTCCTGGTCTCAGCTATACCCCACACAGAGATCATGGTCTCAGTTATACCCCAGACAGATGTCCTGGTCTCAGCTATACCCCACACAGAGATCATGGTCTCAGTTATACCCCAGACAGATGTCCTGGTCTCAGCTATACCCCACATAGAGATCATGGTCTCAGTTATACCCCAGACAGATGTCCTGGTCTCAGCTATACCCCACACAGAGATCATGGTCTCAGTTATACCCCAGACAGATGTCCTGGTCTCAGTTATACCCCAGACAGATGTCCTGGTCTCAGTTATACCCCACATAGAGATCATGGTCTCAGTTATACCCCAGACAGATGTCCTGGTCTCAGTTATACCCCACACAGAGATCATGGTCTCAGTTATACCCCAGACAGATGTCCTGGTCTCAGTTATACCCCACAAAGATGTCCTGGTCTCAGTTATACCCCAGACAGATGTCCTGGTCTCAGTTATACCCCAGACAGATGTCCTGGTCTCAGTTATACCCCACACAGATGTCCTGGTCTCAGTTATACCCCAGACAGATGTCCTGGTCTCAGTTATACCCCACACAGATGTCCTGGTCTCAGTTATACCCCACAAAGATGTCCTGGTCTCAGTTATACCCCACACAGATGTCCTGGTCTCAGTTATACCCCACAAAGATGTCCTGGTCTCAGTTATGCCCCACACAGAGATCATGGTCTCAGTTATACCCCAGACAGATGTCCTGGTCTCAGTTATACCCCACACAGAGATCATGGTCTCAGTTATACCCCAGACAGATGTCTTGGTCTCAGTTATACCCCAGACAGATGTCCTGGTCTCAGTTATACCCCACACAGAGATCATGGTCTCAGTTATACCCCAGACAGATGTCCTGGTCTCAGCTATACCCCACACAGAGATCGTGGTCTCAGTTATACCCCAGACAGATGTCCTGGTCTCAGCTATACCCCACACAGAGATCATGGTCTCAGTTATACCCCAGACAGATGTCCTGGTCTCAGCTATACCCCACATAGAGATCATGGTCTCAGTTATACCCCAGACAGATGTCCTGGTCTCAGCTATACCCCACACAGAGATCATGGTCTCAGTTATACCCCAGACAGATGTCCTGGTCTCAGCTATACCCCACACAGAGATCATGGTCTCAGTTATACCCCAGACAGATGTCCTGGTCTCAGCTATACCCCACACAGAGATCATGGTCTCAGTTATACCCCAGAAAGATGTCCTGGTCTCAGTTATACCCCACACAGAGATCATGGTCTCAGTTATACCCAAGACAGATGTCCTCTGAAACAAACCTTTTTTGGAGCGTTGCCTAATGCTATCAGTGCAGCTGTGTGTGACAAATAGTTTCATTGGTTGATATATTGGACTTGTTTTGACATGTACCTTGTGATTCTTGGCCACTGTACACAGACAGATTCTGCTTTTCCTGTTAATGCTACAAAAATGACAACATTGCATACATTGAAGAATGTGTGAAACGTCACTTTTGATCTTGACATTGTGAATAATCAAAATAACTTTAACGAGGAGTGTATGTATACAGGCAGTAGGATGTTTATGTGGGGTGACATTGATGGAGAAGCAAGTAGAGAAGGGGATGTATAATCACACAAGTGATGAATGGGTATACTGATGTATGGTGCAAAAGGTGTCACTTAACTAAGATCAGCTTTGGACGGACAGTCGAAGTTATTCCTCTTAGTCCAAGTTTCCAATAGTGGCTGTGCAGATATTCCGCTGCCATAATTACCGCTGTCAAATCCGATACTGTTCCTTTTCGTTCGCATAGTAAATGTATTCGGGACACAGCGATAAACAAATAAGCGACAAGTGAAGTAATTTCTTTTGGTAAGTCTGACTCGAAGCCTTGACTATAAAGCCTAAAATCCATGGCATTGAGCAACCAGTATTCATATGCTTGTTTGTTTGTTAGAATTTATTATATGTAATGGGACAAGTGTTTTCTTGTATCAGTTATCGCAAATAGATGGGCAGTTGTCAGGTATGGTCTCCAAGCATGCTGAAGACGTCTGGCATCTCTCCCATCCATCCACTTGTTATATCAGTAACTATTAGGCAAATATTATTTCTAGTTCTGAGACTTTGAATGACATGGGGAGGTCATTTATCTAGCTCTATGACTCATAAGCTTTCCATTTGACTCCCATCAAAATCCATCGATAATGCATACAGAATACATTTTTGCTGAAAGTGAATAATCTCTATCAAAGGGGAATTATGATTTATGTTCAATGCACATTAACTTAACATTAATAAGAATTACATTCTCTGGAAACAAGTGTTGATTAAGACACTTCCCTGTTTCTCTTCTCTGCTACTGCTGTGTCATGTTTCGCACTCTGTGGTGACATTAAGAGTTGTTGTTCAGCGAAGTGTGAAATTTAACAGATATGCCCGAATGTGTACTGTTGCTGATGCTTTCGGTTCCAGTAGTGGCTGTGTTGTGATTCTAATGCACCCCCGCTGTTACAACGATAGTACTGCATTTATATTGCATTTGAAACTATTTCTTCACACCTGGTAGCTATACACACAATATTGATTACATAATTCCTATAATGCTTCTCACTCTGGCCTCATCCTGGGGTCACGCTGACATCACACTGGCCCAACATTGACCTCACACTGGCCTCGTACTGGGGTCACGCTGTCCTCACACTGGCCTCACACTGACATCACACTGGCCCAACATTGACCTCACACTGACCTCACACTGACATCACACTGGCCTCACACTGGCCCAACATTGACCTCACTCTGGCCTCATACTGGGGTCACGCTGTCCTCACACTGACCTCACACTGACCTCACACTGACATCACACTGGCCCAACATTGACCTCACACTGGCCTCGTACTGGGGTCACACTGGCCTCACACTGGCCACAAACTGGCCTCGCACTGGCCCAACATTGACCTCACACTGGCCTCGTACTGGGGTCACACTGGCCTCACACTGGCCTCACACTGGCCCAACATTGACCTCACACTGGCCTCGTACTGGGGTCACACTGGCCTCACACTGACCTCACACTGGCCCAATTTTGACCTCACACTGGCCTCATACTGGGCTAACTGGCCACACACTGACCTCGCACTGGCCACACACCGACCACACACTGGCCACACACTAGCCTCACTCTGGCCACACACTAGCCTCACACTGGCTATAAGCACTGACCAAACACTGGCTTCGCACTGGCCACACACCGACCACACACTGGACTTGCACTGGCCACATACTGGCATCATACTGGCCACAAACTGGCCTCGCACTGGCCTCACACTGACCACATACTGAACTCACACTGACTACACAATGGCCTCGCACTGACCACACACTGACCACATACTGAACTCACACTGACTACACAATGGCCTCGCACTGACCACACACTTACCACATACTGAACTCACACTGACTACACAATGGCCTCGCACTGACCACACACTGACTACACACTGGCCTCGCACTGGCCTCACACTGACTACACAATGGCCTCGCACTGACCACACACTGACCACACACTGGCCTCACACTGACCACACACTGAACTCACACTGGCCTCGCACTGGCCTCACACTGACATCACACTGGCCCAACACTGGCCTCACACTGACTACACACTGACTACACACTGAACTCACACTGACT